CTGATACATAAGAATAATACGCATAAGAAAAAGTAGAACAGACATTGATTTTAAGATAAGACTTTAGATAGCAGAAGAAGCAGGTTTAAAGAGTCAAAGTAGTTACCTCTGCATAGAAAAAATATACCTCAGCATAGCAAAGCCCATATGTGACAAACACACAGCTAACATCAAACTTAATGGTAAAAAGCTGAAATCATTTCCTCTAAGATCAGGAACAAGACAAGGATGTCCACTCTCACCACTTTCATTCAATGTTCTTTTGTAAGTCCTGGCCATAGCAATCAGATAAGAAAAAGAAACAAAAGGAATCCAAATTGGAAAGGAAGAAGTAAAACTGCCCCTGTTTGCAGGTGATGTGATACTACACACAGAAAATTCTAAAGATGGCACCAGAAAACTATTAGAACACATCAATTAATTTGGTAAAGTAGCAGGATTCAAAACTAATATGCAGAAATCTGCTGCATGTCTATACACTAACAATGAAGTATCAGAAAGAGAAATTAAGGAAACAACCCCACTCACTATCACATCAGAAAAAAATAAAAGAAAGAAAGAAAGAAAACAATAAAATACCTAGGAATAAACCTACCTAAGGAAGCAAAAGACCTGTACTCAGAAAACTGTAAGACACTAATGAAAGAAACTGAAGATGATACAAATGGAAATAAATACCATGCTCTTACACTGGAAAAGGCAATGCTGCTAAAATGACCATACTACCCAAGGCAATCTAGAAATTGAATATAATCCCTATCAAATTACCAATGGATTTTTCATAGAACTAGAACAAAAAAAAATTAAATTTGTATGAAAACAAAAAAGATCCCAAACAGCCAAAAGCCATAATGAGAAAATTAGAACAGAGCTGGTGGAATCACACCTCCTCACTTCAGACTATACTACAAAGCTACAGTCATCAAAACAGTATTGTACTGGCACAAAGACAGACACACAGATCAATGGAATAGGATAGAAAACCCAGAAATAAACCCATGCACTTATGGTCAATTAATCCACAACAAAGGAGGTAAGAATATACAATGAAGAAAAGACAGTCTCTTCAATAAGTGATCCTGGGGAAAGTAGACAGCTACATGTAAAAGAATGAAATTACAATATTCTCTAATACCATATAAAAAACTCAAAATGGATTCAAGGCCAAAATTTAAGACCAGATACTGTAAAACTTTCAGGGGAAAATATAGGCAGGACACTCTGACATAAATCACAGCAATATTTTTTTGGATCCATCTCCAACAGTAGTGGAAACAAAAAGAAAAATTTAAAAATAAGACCTGGGACTTCCCTTGAGGTCCAGTGGCTAGGACTCTGTGCTCCCAGTGCAGGGGGGCCAGGTTCAATCCCTGGTCTGGGAACTAGGTCCCACATGCATGCTGCAATTAAGACCCAATGAGAACAAGAAACAATTTTTTGAAAAAGGGCTTATTTTTTAAAAATGGGACCTAATTAAACTCTGAAGTTTTTATACAACAAATGAAACAATAACATATACATACTACTAAGTACAAAATAGATAAACAAGGATCTACTGTATAGCACAGGGAGCTATATACAGTATCTTGTGATAACCTATAATGGAAAAGAATCTGAAAAAGGACACACACACACACACACACATATATATCACTTTGCTGAACACTGAAACACTGTAAATCAACTGTACTTTAAAAAATAAATTTAAAAAAAAAGCAAGAAAGGTAGTTGCCTCTGAAAACAGGAAACAGGTTGAGTGGGAAGGAGAAGTATTACTGTGATTTAAACTTTATTTTTAAAAATACAGATAGCAACTTCTGCCTCTGAGGGTTGTGGTAAGTAGAAAACAATGCATACAAAGAACTTGGAACAATGCATGGCACTTAAGTCTTATCCAGTGAGCATCAGCTATAGCTACATTCAGCAAAGGAGATGAGCAGGCACCCAGGAGAGAGGTAGAAGAGGGGCTCTGAATCACAGACTATCCAAAGATGCTGAGCCTAATTTAAAACATACACATATGCCCCATTAGCCAGAAATTATGGCAGAATCTTGGACAGAGAAACAACCCTAGAAAAATGTATTCCTAGAAAATTGTCCTAGCAGGAAAACTCATTTCTGAAAAGGCATAAATTCAAGTTTAGGGATCATGATGTAGAAGAAAAACCAGGAAGGGGTAACAGAAACTTAGAAAACAATGTTTCAAGAACAAAAGAGTGCCCACAAGAAAATGTCACTTCACATGTAACAGAATAGCTAAGATTAAAAACACTGAAGAAAGAAACCAGAGTACCAACTGCTGGCAAGGAACACTGAACTCTTATACATTGCCTATGGGAGTATGCAGTCACTTAGTGAAACTCTTTATTAGTTTCTTATACCTACCCTAAGGTACATCAATTCCACTCCCAGGTGCCAGAAAAATGACATATGTCACAAAAAGAATCATACACAAGTGTTTGCAGCATCCTTATTCATAACAGCCAAATGCTGGAAATAACCTAAATACTCATCAGCAGAAGAATGGATCATCACTCCATGATACATTCATACAGTGGAAAAACACTGAGTAATATATTAACAGGAACAAACTGCTGAGACACGTAACATGAAGAATCTCAACCACTGTGCTGAGGAAAAGACACCTGGTAATTCACTATGATTCCATTTACATGAGTTTCTAGAAGAAGCAAAACTAATCTACAGTGATAAAAATCAGAACTATGTTTGCATGGGGGAGGCAGGGAGCACAGAGAAAGTGACTGGAAAGGAGCATCTCTGAGGTGACAGAAATATTGGTTTTAATGTCAGGCAGACTTTTTATTGAAGTATACAGTTGATTTACAATATACTTTTAGCATAGTGATTACAGTATTTTTATAGATTATATTCCATTTAAAGTTATTATAAAATAATTGCTATATCTCCCTGTGCTGCATAATATATCCTTGTAGCTTATGTATTTTATACATAGTAGTTTGTACCTCTTAAATGAACCATTTTTGGGGGCTGCACTGGGTCTTCATTGCTTTTGCGTGGTCTACTCTCTTCACTGCAGTGCTCAGGCTCAGTAGTTGTGGCGTGCAGGCTCTAGAGCTTGGGCTCAGTAGTTGTGGCACCTGGGTTTAGTTCCTCCACAGCATATGGAATCTTCCTGGACCAAGGATCAAATTCATGTTCCCTGCATTGGCAGTGGATTCTTATCTACTGTGCCACCAGGGAAGTCCAAGTAGTTTGTACCTATTAATCCCCTACTCCCTCCACTTTCAACCACTAGGTTTGTTCTCTGTGTCTTTGAGTAGGTTTCTGTTTTGTTAAATTTATTCACCTATTTTATTTTTTAGATTCTACATATAGGTGATACCATTTCTCTTTCTCTGCCTTATTTCACTAAAGATAATACCCTTTAGATCCATCCATGTTGTTACAAATGGTAAAATTTCATTCTTTTTTATGATTCAATATTCCATTGTGTATATGCATGTACGTGTATATCTTCTTTCTTCATTCATCTGCTGATAGACACTTAGGTTGCTTCTGTATCTTGACTATTGTAAATAATACTGCTCAGAACATTGGGGTGCATGTCATTTTTCAAATTTGTGCCTTTATTTTTTTCAGATATATACTCAGCAGTAGAACTGCTGGATCATATAGTAAGAAAATATTTTATCCATGATAAAAGTGGTAGATACATGGGTATATCCATTTGTTAAAACTCAAATTGAAGATTTTAAACGTGTGCATTTTATCACTTGTAAATTTTACCTCACTTTTTAAAAAAAGGCTAAAAAAGAATGAAAGCATGGACAACCTTGACACAAGCTTCTAAAAGTCAACAACAAAGAAGAAAAGCAGGTTGTTTCCTTGACACTAGGGGAATGAAAGCCCAATTTGAATGGAATGAGGAGAAATGGAGTATGAAGGAGAGAAAGCTGGTACAGACAGGTTTTTTAAGGAATACCAACCAAAAAAAGACAGGGTAGAACCTGGTGACTCAGTAGAACAAAAATGACTCACCTTTGAATTAAAAACCAAAAACTAGGCACCATGCTAGGCATAAGACTCCAACTTCCAAAGCTAGATAAAATTAAGAAAAAAATCCACTTCTAAAAACAGGGAAATTCGGCAGGAGAGATTATAAGAGAAAAATGAAGAATTCTCAATCCCATTTCATTTCAGACACCAATGGGACACTCAAGTTCCAGGGGAGTGATTTTTCATTCCTATTCCCTTATACTCATGTTCTCGCTAATACTCACAACAGCCCTACAGAATACTATTACTCTGTTTCAAAAGAAGAAAGGAAAATCATGGTTCAGAGTAGTAAGTAGCTTGCCCAAGGTCACATAGCTGGTCACATAAACCCTCATCTTCTGATTCCAATCAAAAGATTTTCCCAGGACTTTCCTGGTAACGCAGTGGATAGGAATCTGCCTCCTAATGCAGGGGATATGTATTTGATCCCTGGTCCAGGAAGATTCCACGTGCCACAGGGCAACTAAACCCATAAGCCACAACTACTGAGCCTGAGAGCTGCAACTACTGAAGCTCATGTGCCTAGACCCTGTACTCCACAAGAAAAGAAGCCACCACAATGCGAAGCCTGAGTACCACAACAAAGAGTAGTCCCCACTTGCTGCAACTAGAGAAAGTCTGTGCAAAGCAACAAAGACCCAACACAGCCAAAAATAAATAAAGAAAAATTAAGGAAAAAAAGATTTTCCCATCATGCCATATCTGCTTCTTTCAGCAAGATTATAGCCTCTCTTTAGTTCAGTCTAGCACACTTTTATCTGTGTCCCTCTAGAAGTCATCACTATTTTCAGTGCAGCAAAAAACCTGCAGAAACTGGGTCATTTTCAGTTACAGCTCACAGAATAAAAAGGGTGGAGGGTTACAGATATCCAATTCTAGAATACCTTTAAAGGTCATATCTTCAGCTAGGAGCCTGAACTCCACAAGGACAAGATGCTGCAGTGAATTTGTGGAGCTTTAAGCACTGCAGCCTAGGCAGCCAACTGTACAAGTCATTCTCACAACCAACTAACATATTTTACCACTAACAGAGTCAACGTAACAAAAATGTGAGCAAGCAAGCAAGGCCACAATTGGGTACTTCACACACCTCAACACAATGCTTCCCCTGGCATTTCTTTTATTATTCTTATTCTCAAGCACAAGAGCTAAATATTTTCACTTATGTGCTCAGTCTTTAAAGGCTGAATCAACTCTTCTGCAGAATTCTATTTTTTAAGTAGTTTCATGAGAGCAGGTATATAAATATGTTTGGTATGTTTGCAGAAAGGAATAAGAATTCCAAAACAATACAAATTCTTCATGTGCTATGTTCCTATGTAATGAAATTTGTAAATGAAGGATTAAATCATCTAAATCATTATCTACAAGTCTAAAGATGAACTAGTTTGTAGGACAGAAAACAAGGCATTACTAATAAAGATTTCATTTTATATTTTTTTTAAACCTTGCTTGAGAGTATAAAATTAAACTGAGTCCGGTTTACAGAGCCAGAGATAAGTCAGGAGACTCAGAAACTGGCCGCATGGCTGACTGATAGAGGAAAGTGTCTCTAAGATACTGTGTGGGACAGCTGGCCTCTTACCTGAATGCATCTGCTCCGTGCTGCTCCGCAGTTTGCTGTAGCCATGGCTCAAGGGCACCCTCTGGTAATGAGGCGGGGAAGAAGGAGGGGAGGCAAGAGGTGACATCGAGGGAGACTGCGTTTCCTGCTTCAAAGAATCAGAGCAGAGTTCAGAGGGAATCACTCAAGGAGCCTGGTGCTCTGAGCTGCAGTTATGAAGTATAATGCAACTCTACTGCCAGTAAGCCGACTGCTTTAACAAATGAAGATGTTTTCTCAAAAACACAGCTTGGTTAAAAAGCACTGGCTGGGGATTCAAAAGTCTCTCAGAAAACAGTCTCGCCAGAACTCAGTTACCTAAATTACTAAAAAAAGCCTGACACACTTCTAGTTACTCCAATAATATTTTCCTTGGGAAAACAAAAGACAACTGATCACATGAAATAACATTCATACACCACAATTTTGATCTCTTTGTGAATAGATTCAATTTTCACTCATTAATAAAGGCTCTTATTTCCTGGATCTACATTTATCAAGTTTTCCAACAATGTGGATATTTTTAAAATATTTTAAATGGTAATGCTAAATATTCTTGGAGCTGTCTAGACAAAGTAAAATGTCAACTTTTTTATACTGAGAAATTCCAAAACAATTCATTATGGGTAAACCCCAACTAGCCTACTCCTAAACAGTAGGATGGCACCTTAATAAAGTACAAATCTCAATTCAAATGTGAATTTTATGTAGGACCACAGGCGAGACAAGCTATTATTACTTGGCTTTTTACTATTACTTAGCTACTGGGTTTCCTCTCTTTTTTTTAATGCTACTAATAGACTGGTAACAAGGAAACTGTACTTTTTATCAGCATACAGACTATATAGGTGTTCTTAGTCAAAAATAATAATAAAGTAATTCAATCTGAGATACCAATCAAGTACTCTTTTTCAAGTAAAAGAAAGAATATTTGCTTTGAATTATAAGTTCACAACCACAGACTGGGTGGGCCTAGCATAAATCCAGACTGAAGTGAAAGGATGTGTCCTCAGTGACACTGCCAGGGGATGGGCCTGAAAGTTCCCAGAGCATCAATCATCCTGGGATAGTAGGCCCTCATTCCTCTCCAAACGCTGGTGGGAAAACATGCCAAAGAGTACTGGCTGAAGATTCTGATATAGGCATACCTCATGTCATTGAGCTTCACAGCTATTACTTTTTTTATTTTTTTATTTTTTTTTAATTTTTTTTTATTAGTTGGAGGCTAATTACTTTACATCATTACAGTAGTTTTTGTTATACATTGAAATGAATTAGCCATGAAAAAAACCAAGTTTATGGCAACCCTGCATCAAGCAAGTCTACCAGCTCCGCTTTTCCAATAGCATTTGCTCACTTCATATCTCTGTGTCACATTTTGACAATCCTTAACAATATTTCAAACATTTTCATTATTATTGTATTTTTATGGCAATGTGTAATCAGTGAGGTTTGATGTTACTACTACTTGCTAAGATGGTAAGTTAGCAGTTTTTAGCAATAAAGCATTTTTTTAAATAAGATATATACATTACGGTTTTTTAGCCACAATGCTATTGCACACTTAGCAGACTACAGTATAGTGTAAATCTAACCTTTGTAAGCACTAGAAAACCAAAAACTCATGTGACTACTGCAGTGGTCTGAAACTGAACCTGCACCGTCTCCAAGGTATGCCTGTACTTCTTTTTATATAAATCCCTTAAGAACTAGTTTAAAATGTATCAGAATTAGGATGTTATACAACAGAACATACTATATGTCACTTAAATATGAATACTGCAACAATACTTTAAATATCCAGCATTATTAGGGTGAACCATATACATTAGTTTTCCAACTTAATCCTTTAATAGTCATTGCATTTGAAAAACATTTTTATTGGTCTTTCTAAAACATGACAAATTTCTTTTCCATACAGAAGGTACTACATTGAATATGATTTGACTTTTCTGCATAATTCAGTATCTTCACTGCAAGTACCTTGATGCCCTGAGTGCTCACTAATGTGTAAGTCTATTTTACCTCTTATTGACAGACCTACTCATCTGGAATTTTACACTTTTCTCTCTACTCATCACTATCTGACTACTGCAATTAGTGGTCTAATTTTAAAAGCCTGTCCACCCTATTCTTGTTCCTGACCTGTACATGTAAAGGCAGCATTTCCCAAGATGGCCCTCCAAGAAGGGATTCCCTGGTGAAAGAAGTTTAGTACATGCCAATCTCCAGGTCTCTTTACTGCAGGACTTGTCAGGGCCTTTACTGTGCTAACGTGCACCATGAATGTCTAAGACCAAGTATTTAGCCTTTCCCCCAAGAATAAGGCATGAAACAGTGTTCTCCAACCACATTTAACCAGAGAAACCAGATTTTTGGAAGAAAGCACTTATTAAAAACTCCTAGAAGTTACATTTCAAAAAACCCATTTGGAAATGGTGGTTAGATAAATCAAATAAGTGTGTTAAAGCAGTAGCCTTACTTCAGACACAATTCTACATTAAAGTAGGCTCTAAATGGCCCAGAGATGGCTCATGGTAATTGCTATGCATCAGCTTCTTCTTCTTGCTACAAGGAAACTTTATAGGCACACTCCAAGACTATAATTGTATCCCAGATGGTGCAATTCAAGTAACTGGAAGTTTGACAGCAGCTATGAGGCACTGCTCTGTGAGGGTTCATGGTCAGGAGCAAACAGACATGCCTGATCAGACTATTTACCTGTTTATCCTCATCGTCGATTCTTTTGAAGGTATTTTTTTCTGTGATTAAATATGGAATCTGAACTTTAGTTCCATGCAGCTCAGTCGTGTTCCCAAACCGGATTTCAGCATCAGTCTTTGACATCATAAAGCGAGGCAGCGGCAGTTCTTTAGGAGCAGAATCAAAGAAGCTCAAGTGAGATTTTATTTGAAAACTGCAAAAAGGGGAACTCAATGGCCAAAAGATGAGTCACTTTTGAGGAAAAATTCCAGAGCACTAAATATAGATTAAATCTGATTTCAACACAATAAAGACTCCTATAATAATGTCATGTGCTACAGTTTAGCAAGGTATCTTGGCTCAACATTTTTAAATGCTGTCCAATCATTCTAGAACAAATTCAGGTTTTGGACAGATCTTCCATTTCAGCCTTTAGTTTGGCACCAAGAAAAGGGATGTGACATTGCAGAAATCAGTATCAAGTGACAACAGTAGCAGGCAAACTTATATAGTGTTTATTATATGCCAGAGACTATATTAAGATCTGCAAATATTAACTCATTTAATCCTCACAACTCGCTACAGTAAGATGATCATTACCCTTCTTTTACAGATGGGGAAACAGACCAGAAGGAGCTAAGATGACACAGCATGTCTGTGGCAGAGCTGGCTCTTCATAGGTCAGTGCTGCTACCCTATAGAAAGGCCCCTCATTCCCAGGGCAAACTTACTGGATACAACACGTTCTCATCCTATGTTATTGCTCAAGGAATGTTCACACACAATCTCCAGTTGTCTTTTTGTAATGGAATAAGGAAAATGGCATCAAGTTAGAGCAATCAATCCAACGTTCAGTCAAATTCTACTGTCAAAACCATTAGCCACACTCAATACCACAAAGAGCTGAAATGCAACAGTCTGGTGTATTTTTACTTACCTTTCAAATTTCTGACAAAACTATTCTGAAAACAGAAATGATACTTTGGCACACTTCAAGTTCTCAGCAGAGCAAATCACACACAATAACACAGCACAAAGAACACCAAAAATGGGTATAATATTCTGGATTAGGCATAATGATTTGCATCTGGATTCATTGTTTAGGATAATATTCATCAGTGTGCCTTTGCCTTCCCTTAGCTTGCTCTTCCAAAAACACAGCTGCACTTCCAATGATCACTGCTGTGTTACAGCCAGAAAACATCTTAGCAACAGCAAGCAGTATCTCAGCTCCCCAGGCAAAGAAGGCCCCTGGTTCTCTAATATCCACATCATGTTTATTTTTAGTTGCTATGTCCACATTCAATTCAAAGAAGTAGGCAATATGACAAATCCCTGCGTGATCAATCAGCCAAGAGCCCAAGAGACATGAATAGAATAACCAATCTGGAAAATTAAACCAAGACTTTCCCCTAAAGAGACGATGGCCACCATTTTTAATATATTTTATTATTTCCTAACCCTGGCAGCTCCTCAGCACTCAAGGCAGGACTGGACTTCAAAAGAAAGAAGGCAAGAGAAAAGAAAGTCTAGATTCTCAGTAAATCAAATATGAGCTAATCCTATGGTTCTCTTCTCAGAAAGGTATTTATTACAGCTCAGTCTGCAAAAAAGGATCTTAAAAAACTGAACAAGATCACATAAAATAACTTGTACTCTAATCTGCCCACAAGAGGATGACACTACTTACAAGCCCTATCTGGAAAGAGAAGAAAAAAAAAAAAGGAAATGTTCGGCATTTGTAAGCTCCCTGACCAGTGTTTCACTGGTGTTTAACAGATAACTCCAGGAACAATGAAACACAAACCTGGTTGGTGAATATCAACTACTACACTAGGGCCCCCAGCTGTCCTTTAGGACACTGTCATATCACAAATTCTCCTTCCCTGGCTATGGCATTTCTCCAGAATTGTTCACCTGGGAAAGAATCTCCCTCCCTCAGACAGCAGAAGACAAAATACAGCTGAATTTCTCTCATACTTTCTTTGTTTTCAAGGCTTTAAACAACTTTTACGTAACAGAATTGTAACCATATATACTTATATTCCTATTATTCAAAACTAATGAAAGTGCTATTTTTCTTAAGGTGGTGCAAGCTTTTTTTTATGTTACAAGCTTCTTAAAAGTGAAAAGCAAAACTAGTTTGTCAACATTCAGTCTAAATGTTGTTTCACAGTCATACGTACAGCAAATTTAATAGCAAAACTTTATTAGAAAATTAATCAATAAAGTACCTACTATCCAGTGATATATGTCAAGTAATCACAGGAGAAGATCTATCTGCAGTAATTGGTTAGAATCTTTTCTCCCAAACTGAATTAAATTAGCAGATAGGAAACAAATTAAGAGTTCAAATAAAATACTGACAGGGGCCAAGGACACAATGAGCACAGCAATCATTTGTCTCATAATGGTATCTTAGGTTGTATTATTTGAACACAGAAATGCTTTGTATATTAAATAGAAATGACTATTTTTCCCTTCCACAAACAAAATCATGTCTCTGCTTTTTTAAACATGTGATCCTCTAAGGGAAAAATCCTTTGTTTTCCCATGTTTGATGGTGTCATGAATATTAGAAATACATCCCTCAATTCATTAGAAAAAAACATAAGCAGCATAAACACAGTAATAAAAGATTAATTACAAAGAAACAGCTGCTGTGCACTGTCCTCAAAAGACCCTGATGCTGGGAAAGATTGAAGGTGGGAGGAGAAGGGGACGACAGAGGATGAGATGGTTGGATGGCATCACCGACTCAATGGACATGAGTTGGAGTAAACTCCGGGAGTTGGTGATGGACAAGGAGGCCTGGCATGCTGCAGTCCATGGGGTCGCAGAGTAGAACATGACTGAGTGACTGAACTGAACTGAGAAATATAATCGCAGCCACATGTATCATTGTAAATTGTATAGTAGCTACATTAACAAAAAAAAAATGTTAAGTGAAGAAGCCAGTGAAAAAATACAAATACTGCATGGTTTCACTTACATGACGGATCAATCATCAAACTCATGGAAACAGAAGGTAGAACAGTGGATGCCAGAGGCTGGAGGGAAGGGGACTGGGGAGTTGTTTAATGGGGGTGGAGTTTCCACCTTGCAATGTAGGCAGATTGGTTGCACAACAATGTGGATACACGTAACACTACTGAACTGTATACTTAAAAATGGTTAAGATGATTTTATATTATGTATATTTTGTCACAACTAATATTTTTCAACTTAAAAAAAGCAAAACACAGAGGTGAAATTAATTTAGTATATTTTAACCCAATGTTATCGATGACAGCATGTAAACAAGATAAAAATTAATATAATAGTTTACATTCTCTTTTCAGACTAATGCTTTAAACCCCATGTGTACGTCCCTGTACCACAGACCTCAATTCAGATACACCACATTTCAGGCACTCAGGAGCTGCAGTAGTATGGCTACTGGCTGCCCTACTGTAAAAGCACAGTTTGGCTGATGGTTGCTATGAAGCAATATGGACCCCTATGGCCAGAGATCTAGATTTTACTAAGAAATACTATAATGTTAAAAGTCAACAAATAATTGATTTCTTCTTAAATTATGTAAAGAGTATTTTGTATGGAGGGATGACGATGATGTACACAGAGCTTAACTATTTGAAGACTTTTAAAAATTTGTTTATTTTTGGCCGTGCTGGGTCTTCATTGCTGCAGGCTTTCCTCTAGCTGTGACAAGGGTTTGTTTCTCATTGCAGTGGCTTCTCTTGTTGCAGAGCACAGATTCTAGGGAGCACAGGCTTCAGCAGTTGTGGCTCCCAGACTCTAGAGCACAGGCTCAATAGTTGTGGTGCACAGGCTTAGTTGCTTCACAGCATGTGGGACCTTCCCAGATCAGGGATCAATTCTGTGTCTCCTGCATTGGCAGGCAGATTCTTTACCACTGAGCTACCAGGAAGCCTCATTTGAAGACTTTTTTTTTTCCATTTATTTTTATTAGTTGGAGGCTAATTACAAATGTATATATATAACCTCATAACAAATAGCCAAAGTGCTTTCATATCCCTTTCTAGTTAATCACCTCCCCTTATCCAACTGAGCAATGTCTTCTAATTTCTAAATCCACAGATTACCTTTGCCATTATAGAACTTCACATAATGGAATCATACAATATTAATCTTTGTAACTAGCTTTTCTGATAACACTTAGTGATAATCATCCAATGTACAACATAATCATCTAAAGACAGTTCATTCTTTTTCACTGCTATGGAGTAATCCACTCTTATGAATATACTGAAAATTTTTAAACCCAGTCTCTGTGATGAACATTTAGGTTGTTTTCAGTTTAAAGCCATTATGAATATAGCTGCTGTGCACAGTCTTATAAATTACTTTTGAGAGACATGAATTCATCAATCTTGGGATATATCTATGAGCCACATTCAACCTGCTGTCTATTTCCATATAGCTCATGAGTACTATATAGTAGTAGTATAAGTATAAACTATTATGTACAAAATAAGCTACAAGCATGTATTATACAACACAGGGAATATAGCCAATATTTTATAAGTATAAATGGAGTATAACCTTTAAAACCTGTGTGTAAATCACTATATCATACACCTGTAACTTATATAATACTATACATCAAAGTATACTTCAGTTAGTATTTTCATTAAAAAACAATAGGTTTTACATTTTTGAATGCTTGGAAAACATCAAAAGAAAAATGATTCATGATGTGAAAATTATGAAATACAAATTTCAATATCCATAAATAAACTTTTACTGGAACACAGCCATGCTCTTTTGTTTACACATTCTGCTTTCCCAGTTCAAAAGCAGAGTTGGGTATGTGCAATAAAAGCCATACAGCTCACAAAGCCTAAAATATCCACTACCTAGCCCTTTACAGGAAAAGTTTGCTGATGCCTGTCTTATACAATACAGTGCTTAAAGTAAAACATAATCTTACTAAAACAATAAAGTTTCATTTAATGGAAAAATATTTCATGTTACTTGAGCTTTTAATGTAAATTTTAAGTAATTTAAGTTGCTGCTTTAATTAAAATTCAATTTCTCACTGGCACTAAACACATTTTAAATGCTCTATAGTCAGTTTCACAGGACTAGTGGCTACCACAGGAGATAGCACAGTTTAGATGCCTGGCCAAAGGATTACCCAATT